ATATGTTTTAAGGGACGCGAAAACCTATCAGAAAAACTTAATTTCATTACCCTGGACCGTTTGTCCACGCATTTGCCTAAGAAATTATATACATGATATTGAGTTGTCACCATTTTTCTAAATATGAATTGCGTACAATTTTATTCATAACATTCTATAGGCATGTACAATCAATATATGCTATGACAAAAATGTTTGTGTGCGCGTGTACGTGCGTAACTCTAATAATTAATAGGCAGTTCTCTTAAGCCTGAGTTTTTGGAAAACTAGTCGAGGAAGCACATAACGGTTTTTAAACATGGTTTTGGGGATTACAATTTGCAGATTTATTTCAATTTATTTTATACATTCATAAATGATGAGGGATTGCAAATTATTAGAAATTATATTAATTTATTTACATAAAATTCACTTCAATTCAATATCAATTTTTTACTTCATTTTTTGCAATTCTCCGCACCACCCTTTAGGTATTGTAACAGGCGCGTTAGCATTTATTTCAAATGGCTGCTACGCCAAAAATATTTCAGGCCCATAGACTTTTTTTCCCTCTGTCCAGAAATTGACGTTCGTACTTAATATAATTTGTGCATAATAAATACATAAATTTTTTGTCAATATCACTTTCTAAGTGATGAGTCTTTATGCAAAATTCATACATATGTCATTTGCAAGTAATACATTGCATATTTTTGTTTTAAACTGTCTTGAACAGTATATACAAATATAGCTAAAGTCCTCTGAATGTTTCAAAACCAAGTTGCGTAACTTGAACCTGTATTCGTTAGGAACAAAATTAAGATGTTCAATTTTTTGCGTTAACAATTTCTCAACCAAATTCAAAACATGGTACCCATTGGACCAAGCATCTCCCTGCAAGGTATCACTTTTCACCGTATCTAACCGCCAAAGTTTTCCCTCTTCTAACAAAGTCCATTCATTGGCTTTAGCACATTCATTATATTTATAAATAAATTTTGTTTTAAAATTTTCGAAGAAGCATTAGATTATAGGTATACGCGAAGAGACGACCCGTAAAAAATGTGGGTTATCCTGGTGGGCAATCTTCACTTCAGTGAAATTTCTTGTTTTTTTTTATTTAAGAATTGAATATTAGAAGCATTCTCATTTTTTTTTTGCTTGTCATTAAATGTAGTAATGAAAGCCAGGGAAACCCAACTGATGAGTATAAGCAACGAAATAAGAAAAAGTATGCAACGGCAAGTCTTGCACTAGCTTTAGCGCAGTTTTAAATAAACTTTAAAATTATTCAGAGTATTTCAAAGTCTTTGTTTCTGCACCGTTGTAATTTTCAAGCACGTATGCATTCTTCGTAGATTCGGCTTATTGCGGTTGCTCTTTTTTGAGGTGTGGTCATGGAGATGGGGTTTCTTTCACCTTAAACTGGTGAGTTTGAGGCATTTCTTCATCTTCGGACATTTGGTTAATATTTACAAGTGTTTTCTCCGCTTTTGTTTTAGTTTAAGCCAACTGTTTATCCTATAAAAGTTATTAAAATGTTTCCCTCTTTATCCGATAGCATTTTCATTTTACGCTGAAATACAAAGAATAGCTATGTTTAGCAACAGTTATCAATGATCAATTCAGTTTTAACAACTATAGTCACACCTTCGATTTAGCTTAGTAAAAGGGATCACAGCATATATACCAAATTATTACGTGATTTCATGTATTTTGATCATTTTTACACTTTGAAAAGGCATTTATTGAGAAAAATTGGTACAATATATATTTATTATATAATTATTATATATTTCCTATAATTTTTTATAAAATTTTTCTATCTGTCTGCTAAGATGGCGATACCGTGTCGACAAAACGATTTGGTTTGGCAGCAATTAAATCATCGACTTGTTCTCGCATCCCATCAACTTTGCGGAATAGCGTACTATTAAAGCCATGTTGCATCGCTCTCAACAGGTGGTAATCAGAAAGCGCCATGTCTACTGAGTACATTGGGTGTGGCAGAACTTCTCATTCGATCTGTAACAGTGTATCCTTGACAACAATTGCAATAAGTGGCCAAAATAGTCAATGTGTGATAGCCATTTTAGCTGCTATTTCTGGTCTTTTTTGCAAGAATACATCTGTCAGCTTGGTCAATTGGCGTCGGTTAACATCTACAGTAGGAGTTTCATTTGATTTTAGCAGTTCGTAATGCAATACACTTTGCTGATCCCGCCGTATGCATAGCAAAGTTTTAGATGGATGTGGGTGGCTTTCCTGGGCCAATCAACGACTGTTTGCGGTTGGAATTGTTATAATAGATACACTTTTGATCGCTAGTTACAATACGATATAGTAAATTGGCTTTTTTTTGTGCGGCAAGCAATCAAACAGCAATGTTGTAGTGGTTCGAAACGGAATTTTCAGTCAATTAGCATGGTAGCCATTTTGTCTTATTTTGGATTTTTCCCATCGCATGTAAACGTCTAAAAACTGTTGATTCATGAACTGTTAAGCTGTTGGAAAGTTCTCGGAAAGTTTGAGCTGAGTTTTCGTCCAAGAAATCGTGCAATTCATTTTTTGGTCTTGCAGGCCATTATTTGTTATTGGCATCAAAGCGACCGCTATTAAACTGTTGAAACCAAAACTGACAATTTGGATATGATGAAGGGGCATCATCGTAAGCTTCTAAAAGTGTTTGATGGGGATCGGCAGCAGATTTCGTCAAATTAAACAACAAAAATAATGAATGTCAAAATGCAATTTTGAACACTTTGTGATTAGCGTCGGCATACGCTGCATATCTCGATAAGACTAAATGGAAAACTGTTATTTTAGGTACAGAATTTAATCGTTATACATACTACTATTTTCCATTTCTTTATCATTTTTACCTGTAGGAGGCGCCGATAGTCTGTGCTGCTAGTGCTCAATGTCTTTTTTTTTAGTCTAAGAATTTATTTCATTAGTGTAAAATTATAATAATAATAATAATCATAATAATAGAATTAATGAATGCACCTAATAATTTATGTATGCTAATGCTAGCTAAATGGCTATGTAGTCAGTAAAAAGATATAAGACGTTTTCTTTGTGCTTTATGACAAAAGTATAAATTTTTGTAAATTTAATTTAGATGATCAAAGCTCGACCCACACACACCCATACCTCTTATTGCTTTTCTTGCATTTTTATATGTAATGTTTTCGTTGCCAAGTGACTAATTATCTTGGGAGCGTTACTATTTTTGTTTAGGTGGTTGCCGCAATATTTACATAAAAATCGTCGTGTGTTTAAGCTGCTGCCGCAACAACTTAATAAGCTAATGGTTACCAAGTTTATATATTTAGACATATGATGGGTACATATATGCACATTGCTCTTTAAGTTCTGAATAATTTTTGAATCTCTGGCACATTATCGTAATTGCCATTTATTGGTTATATATTAGTTTCAAACTTTTCCTCCTTAATTATGTACTATTATTATTTTTTATTAATTTCTGCGGTTGCTGTTGGTGTTGTGGGTTTTGCTTCTTCTTCTTGTTCCTTTCATTCTTTTAATGTTAAATATACCATATAAAAATAAATACATTTGAGTATGTGTGCACATTTTTCAATAACATTTACATATATTATCTCGAAAGATATAAGTTAACTGTATAGTCAGCTAATGCTATTGTTAGAATAAATATGTATTCATGTTTTATTTTTATTACAATACATTTTTTTTATTATTTGTTGTTAATAGGCACGCGCTGCAAGGACCATAAAACTGCCGTTCTAGATTCAAACGCTCAGCCTTACCTTTGATTGAAGGTTTTTTAAAGGTAGAATTACACGTGCTGCAAAATGACAGAAGAAACCACAAAAAATTTGTCATTCTGCAACCGAACTAATAATTAACATCATAGTCTTCATCGCAGTCATCCCAATTTAGCTCCAAAAAAGTTAAAGGAACGTAATTTTGTTTGGACCTTGTTTTAAATGAACATAAACACTTTCTAAAGACGTTTGTTAGCGTACACCAGAAGCTAAGAAATCTAACAAGCAAATAATTAGAATATAACTTGAAATCAGAGATTTATTTGATAAAGTGAGGTTTTCACTTGGGGAACAGCTTGAAATTTTAGGGGAAAACTTACTTTCCGATATTGAGCAAAACAGAAAGAAAAAAAGATTTTTTAAAAAATTTACAGTGATATTAACTCTCAAGTTTAACGCAAATTTGTTAGTGATTTTTTCATAATTGATATCTGAAGTGAAATATCTTAATTTTGTTGGTGTGATTCTCATTATTAGAAGTTTTGCACCGTAAGTTATACTTCTCAGCTGATAATTTCAAGAGCAATATAAAACTTAGTTAATAATATATGGTAACATTCGGTTACAATTTTCGAAAGTGATTACAAAAAAAAAAACACAAATTTTGGAATTGATAAGCGTCACCCCAAAATTGCCTCACTATATAAAAATGCAAGCCTGCACGATAAGTGCTATATATTGGTCAAATCACCTCTTTAGGTTATTTACTTAATGTAGCGGTTGCATAGCAGCGGTCAGCGAAGAGCTAGAAGCTCGTTCGAAAATATTCTTAAAAAGATAGAAAGGAGAGATCAAGAGCTAGGTCAACTAAAAATAAACAACTATGCCTATTTATTTGGAGAGTTTCTCTTCAGAAATAATTTCACGGACTTAAGTGCTTTGAAGCAGCTTTAATTTCGTCTATGCACATGAAAATGTTTGATCACTTTTAGATTCTTGCATATAATGCACATTGTCTGCTATGCATTCTATAAGGTGATGTATAAAATGCTTTCTATGTGTTTTAGTTGTAAGTGGTCTGCCAAAATGTCAGCGTATGTATGTGTGAATTCCCTGTTGCATAGACTTACATATAATTGGTTTGGGTATCAAGCATATGTCATTATATGATGATAAATAAATAAACTAAAGTGCTTTCGGTACGGATTTTGCAATGTATATACCGACATTTAAACTATGAAATTTTATTTGTTATCCAATGTTATTAAAAAAGAAAAAAGTTCTTTCGCATGATAGCAATGTTTTTCGGGTGACAATAATTTATACCATTTTTGAGTGAAATTAAAGAAAAAAAACTTAATGTAAAAAGCCAAACTATGGCATGTATTTTAGATCGCTAGCTGCCTTTTCTGTTAATAAAACGATACAAACGACGACAAAGATGGTAAAAGCTTCTATTTGTTTTGAAGAAAAAAATCATGATTTTTCATTAGAACTTACATAAAATATCAGGTTTCTTGGAAATATTTGATGTTATTGGTGTTAATAGGGGATACTTATTCCGCTGAGTATCTGCCTGAGGATTATCTTAATGAAGTCTGTCCAATATACGATAAAGTGGTGGATGATATTTGTTTATATCTCGAAAGGAGCGCCGGAATCGAGCTTGTTAATAGGGAAACCATGTGTGCCATGTCTTGCGAGGGATTGATTATTAGAGGACTCTATAGTGCTCCGGTCCATGAAAACGTTATACGAAAATTTAAGAAAGTATAAATCTATTAAACGAAAACACCGGTCTAACTCAATGATGATAAGGAGGCCAAATAAGAATTTTCTGAGACGCAAATAAATGTAAGTACGAACATATCCTTTGCTAATTATTTACACTAATTCAATAAATTTTTAGTTTTCAAGAATAAAACAAGGATAATGAAATAATTAAGTAGAGAAGAATTTAAATTTTAGGGAGTGGTTGTGATTTTCTGCAAAAATTGTAAAGATGCAGGAATCGTGAAGAAAGTTGTATCTGTATTGATGCTAATCTTGAATGCATATCGTAATAAATACATAAAAAATTCGTGGTGTCCTCTTAAGAACAAGTGTGAGAGTGAACTAATTTTTATTTCATTGAATTTGTCAACGTTGTTAACCGTATATCTAGCATATGTTGGAAATCGCGTATGCTTTATATATTGTAGTAAAGCGCAAGATTTGGACACATCTGTCTATCCATATATCTGTCTAACTTTTATTGCTACAAAACACAACGTTACAATAACTGAATAAAAAAACACCAATCCTTACGACAAATAGACATAGGTATCAGCCAAATGTATACGTTAAGCGGAAAAATGTAACTTCACAGCTTAAATAAAAATTTGATCTATAACCTAGAAATATATTTCAGAGTTGTCCGAAAAGTTGTAAAAAATGTGTACAAAAAGGCGTTGCAATGTTAATGTGAACCGACTTATCACCGGGAAAGTATGCATATGAATATATGACAACTGTGTATAGGCATATGACTAGGCATAAGCCAAGTCGAAATCTTACAGAATTAAAAATGTATATGTGCTACGTGAGAGAATTCCGATAGCAAATGGTCTTGAAAAACTCATCTTTCGCCAGTTACGTAATACTGTACTTTGTATAAGCATATATTCGGTGATATCATCTATTCCCGGTTCCTAAGAACGGTCCACAAGTGGTCTCCCGTTGCCTACATCCCTAATATTCTCTTTTCTCCGTATAGCTAGTTGCATGGAAACGTTAAGAAGTGTACGATTTGGATTTTTTAAATGTGACCTTTTCGCAACAATTATAATGACCAAGAGCTGGTGTTGAAGCTCGTAACATTGGATGGAGTGAGAATTATCTTGCAAGCAAATGTGGCGAGATCTAACTTTAAAAGAGTGCAAGGGAAGATTTGGTGCCACAGTAAGGAGGCTCTAACAACCTTGGACGATTTTTTTTGTTTTGTTTACTGAAACAATTTATTGAATATTGAAAACGATTCATATTTTTTTTATTTTCGTGTATTTCTTCCATCTTCTCTAATTTCATGAATAATAAATAATATAAAGGTATACAAACGATTAACAATGCTGGCTCCTCTGTCTCGTGACAACTACACTACACACTATCGCTCTTACTTACCTACTCTAAATCGGCTTAATATAGGAAATTAGTCAACATAATTCAATGCTGTAGTGAACAAAAATTAACCTTGTTTTTGCCGTATATTTCAACTAAATATAAAGTTGCCTCAACAGGCGTCTTTGCAAAACTCTAAGGATTAAGAAGCAAACAATAGAAAAGATTGTAATTTCATTTCTTTTGAATTTAGAGTTTTCAGTATTAGATTATATATATAAATATGTTGCTGATTTTGCAAAAGTTTCTTGTATACAAATCTAAGTGCATATCTCCCGCTACCGCTCTGAAAATATCAAGTAATCTTAGTTTAATGAAACCCGCAAGCTCATACACGACCATACGCCCAGAGACAAGCACGCACACACCCATCCGTAAATATAAGGATCCTGTGATATGACGCTGCTCCCTACGAAACGCCACTTAATAGAACTATTTGTGTTAACTAATTGAATTAAGTTTTTCTTATGAAGAGAACGAAATTTTTACATTTTGGAAGGAATTCAGCGCTTGTCAAAGAGTAAAAGCAAATATAAACAAAAGTTTTCCAACAAGCGCTGAAAAATAAGCAAATGCAAATGTTATGCAAAGAGCAAATTTTTAACGAAAAGAGCCAAAATAACTTATTGTAGTAATAATCATGATGACGATGTAGAACGCGATAAAATTGAATTTAATCAATGTTTTTGCTTCAGTCATATATGTTTTTATACGCTTTTCCATATTTTGTTTTTAGAATAATAAACAAACGAAGTTAAAAGAAAATGTCATTAAATTACAGAAACTGCTCTTTCTTTTTTGTAACTACGAAGAGAGGGTGTATTAAACTTATCATTGTATTTAGTTATATGGTCTTTTTTACATCATTTTCGCTTGTATCTTTTAAAGTCACGTTGTGGCGCATATCTCCCTATCTCTTTAGTATCTTTTTAACTTGCATTTTGTCAGATCAGTAATAGACGCTTTAATAATGTAATCTGTACAAATTTATAGCAATGCTTGCGTTCAGTTGCGAGCTCTAATTTAGGATCACTAAGATTGCTTCGATAAGCGAGCAAGGGGACAGAGTAGCACGGAATGTATCTTATGCGTGTAATACGGTGGCGATGAGAAAGAAGTGAAGATAAAAAAGAAATAGATACAGAGTGGCGGCAACCTAGTGGGCGCATGCCCAATCTGTAAGTTTTATGATCTCGAGTCTATAAGGCATTGCAAGCACTGAAAAAAAGCATCGTAGCCGATCATGTTCGCAACGACCTTAGGCTATCAAGTGTTGCTTGTTGTTTACAAAAATTAGAAGATTTGGATGCGAAGAGCAATCTATTAGGTAATTCTTCTAATGTTCACGCACAAGCATTTCAATCAAAAACATAGTACAGGAAGACAAATGAGTAGCCAACAAGTTGAAAGCGTTGTGACTGGCACCAGGCAATAATTTCAGTAGGCCTAAGCATAAGCGTTTGTAAATTAACTGAGTTTATGGAAAAAAAAGAGCAAAAAGCATAAGATCGTTCGCAATTAATCTCAAAAATAAAAAGAACATCAATATGACAAATGTTCTCGTCAATGTGAGATTCTTACACTATTGCTTATATGTATGAAGTAAAGACATTTTGAAATTAACAAAAATTTAAGTAGACCTTATATATAATGATAATAAAATAGTTGTTAGCGAATTGTTTTTTCTACATTCGACATTATAATATTACATTTTTTTTACGCACAAAAATATACAACAGTGGCCTCTCAAAGTGCCACTGTTCTGAAGGGGTTGTTAATATCAATAACAACTTAGCGCCGCCTTTTTTTTTATCTGGCAGGACTTTCCAGCTTTTTTCCAGCTTTCCACCTTTTCAGTTAATTTTTACTCTCAGTTCAGACGCTCAGCATCATAAATTTCTTGTCTGGTTTAAAAATGCTTCCTTAATCTTTTCTCGAAATTTTTTGCTAGCTGGTGAAGTGTCACTTTTATCGCATCCACTTGAGATCAATTAGCACATCTTAGAATTCAAGTTGTGTGCTGCGAAATGAAAAAGAAAATTTGACAGCCGAATTTATAATTAATATCAACCTCTTCATCGCGTTTTTGGCTGGAACACTGACGCCACCTGAAATCGGCCCCAATCTCATATCTATTCAATGGCCGTTGCGCACAGAGCTTTACATTCGCAATGCATTCACACGAACAAAGCACTATTTCAAGAAGTTAGAAATCATTAGGTAAATTATTAGATTGCATCCTCCCAGTATGAATTCATTTGACACAAATAGTCTTCTTGCAGTGTTTCGGTGAGGAGTCTGAAGTTTTGAGAAAAAAAATTTCTTTCAGGTAATATATTTGTTCCATCGCGATTGTTTCGTTAGATTTGAGAAAATCAAACTGCTGTCGGCCGATAGCCGTACGTGGCAGTACTGAGGAGATTTGGTTTCGCTGTCGATGTTAATGACTATCCCGAGCTGCCCTATAATTTTTACAGCAATGTATCATGTACGTTTTTCATTATGTCACGATTAAATAGCGCTATCTGTTGAAATAAGCTGGAAAAGCAATGTCTCGAACGTGTCGTCGTTTTTAGTATGGAACTCTAATTAGCCCAAGCTATCTAAGGCGATATTGGTTATCATATAACGGTATAACTTTTACGGCTACGTAAAGGTTCACAATAGGAAAGCGACAGTTTCAAGAATACTTACAGACAAAGTGGCACTATCTCGTAACGTTACGTAGAAGACGAAGCTTTTAGGTATGCAGTTTTTATCTGCTTCTTGTGATTGTACAAATATATATTGTATTTCCTTGTTCCTTTTCATAACGTGTCATCTTTGCTTTACCTTGCTTTACCTCCGTAAACGATAAGGTATTTGAAAGGATTTATTATATATTATAGTTCAGCAGCTCCAACATACATTAGCGATAGGATTAAAAAAATTCGGTTAAAATCATTTATGGTTTTTTTTTTTTTTTTTTTTTTTGATGAAAAATCACGCGCAAAAGAATACAATTGTTTATGTGAGTTCTGATCAGTACAAAACTGCTGTGAACTATCGGTCAATCACTTCGCTTACGGTTATCCATCTCATTCCACGCGATGTTACACATATGTTGATAGTATTCGTTTATTTCACGTTTTACTGAATCGTGTAAAAAACTACATCATATTTTGATCAGATTTAGGGAACAACAAAGTACTTACTAAATAAATACGTACATAGGGTTTAAAATTTATTACATAAATTGATATTGTATACATTATAAAAGCGCTTTTTAAAGGAAATTTATTACAAACTTTCTATTGTGTTGCTCTATGGTTGTGCATTTAAAGACTTCCCGTACACATTGCTATTCTTTATGCTTAAGCTTTTGTTACAAATGTCAATGATTACTCATTGGCTTAACCTGATAGAGAACAAATAGAAAAAGGAAGGCAACAACAAAGAAGACAGAAATTATATAAGGTTAGTACTGAATTTTTTGGCCATTTTTGCTAGCCTCTGTTTTCTAATAAATACATTGAGGAATTGAAACACCGCTATCATTTTTAATTTCTGGTCTCCTTTTTTTTGGTAATGATTTTCCGTTTTCCAATGTATGGCAGCACTGCTAAGCATAACAGAAACGTAAGCGTAACATTAATTTAATCCAAATGACAGCATTGTTCACCTAAACATACGATTAAAAACACTACTATATATGAAAG